CTGACTCGTCGGAGAAGAGAACAGCGTCACCATCAAACGCCACTCTCAACTGAGTGTCGCTTAGCTCCTGCTCTGTGTCCGGCGTGAACATTGTGGCAGCAGCAATTCCTGATGAAAGGTAAGCGAAGCAAGGATTAAAATCTCTAAACAGTATATAGTATGTACACAATAAATTGAGCCTATCAAGAGCCCTTAATTCACCTTGTTTTAAATAAATATCATGGTTAACACACAAGCTTATTCTGTGTTCAATTGAATGGTGGGCGGGCTGTAAATCTCATGCTGCCTTCAACCAGCTATTTCTTGCAGTTTAGTATGAAGTCGAGATTTCCCTCTGAAGCGTGAATGAGTCACAAAGTCAACATTGAGGCTTGTAAATATAAGAAGTACTTAAACATCTAGAAGGTGGTGAAGGAAGTCCAAGACTCTGCAAAGTACTGATTAAAATATTAGACCAACATCACTTACCTTCATCTATGGCCTGTATGACTTTGTCTGCACTTTTGGAGAGGTAAAGATTTGTCAGGTAGGCCTTCAGGTAACCAATAGGACTCTTCCCTCCTGTCATGCAGAATCTCTCTATGGTCAAATCTGAAGCAAGGAGAAAAAACAAGTAAGATGTGCAGAAAAAGAAAGACTTCCTCATTTTAGACGCGCAATTGCTAGACTTGATCCAACATCACACTCCACGCTCAGACCTCGACGCAGCATACCATAGTGATTAATGCTGTTAATGAGGCGCACTCCCACTTGGGCATGGTTGTTGGTCATTAAGACGATATCAAACAGCTCCTCGTTGTCTGGATAGAGCTCCCTCAGTTGAGTGTTGACGTTCATCAGCGCCTTAAGAAGGCACAAGAAAACAAACCATGTTATACACCCAAAGCAAGGATATTGCATGAGTGCTCAACAGAAGTAACCACTATTCTTTTGGTTAAATCACACTTTTAAAGCAATGCAGAACCAAGTCAGTGCGTCTCGGATGCTTGCTTTGAGTACGCATTAGAGCGCTGAGGATTTTGTGCACCTATCCACGAGGAAGCAGAATGGTTCAAGGGTTAAAGACAATTAACCTTTAGCACTTAATTTGCACTACTTCTCAAAGTCACAGCTTGGTCAGATCTGCACACAGAAAGGTTACGCATATATTTTTAGATTCTGTGGGACACTTTCCTGAGACATTACTCTGATGTCTGCCATAAAATGTCCATAAATCTTCTGAGGGCTCACAGCGAGACAGGTCATCACGATTTCACATTTTCTCCAGTATCACAGCAACTGAATGATAGTTGCCTGTATATCATTTGGTATATTTTTAATGGAGCTAATTTGCCAAAAATGGGAACAAATATAAACTTTATAGAGCGGTGATTGGTTGGTGATACATAGCAAATGGGTGCACCGGCAGTGATGCCAGCAATGACTTAATAGATTAATTCCTAGCTGGCTTGACCTTTACTATACATCATTCATCACATTCTTGTCTGCCTTTACTTTTAACTACTTAGTGAAAAAAGAAAAACTTCCTACAACATTATAATTCTTGATGCCATGAATAGTTTTTCCCCCTTGATCTTCATCCTTCAGCTGCTCCCTTTAGGCGTTGGCACAGTGGATCATTCACCTTCGTCTCACCCTATCCCTAGCCACCTCCTCTTTCACGCCAGCTCTTTCACACTGCATCCAGGAACCTTCTCTGAGGTCCTCCTCCTACCATTTTATTAGTGCCATCATCTCCAAATCATAGCAGGTATTACTACCATCTTGTAAACCCTCCCTTTCATTCTTGCTGCGATCCTTCTGTCTCAAATCACCCCTGACACTCGTCTCCACTCACTCCACTCCACTCTGCCTGCACTCTCCTGCACCTCTCTTGTGAACTGTCTGTTGATTTGGATGGTTGAGACACATCTACCTTCACTACCTCTCCTCCTTACAGCTTCACTCTTACACTTATTCACACACAGGTATTCTGTCTTGCTTCTACATACTTTCATTCCTCTTCTCTCCAGTGCATAACTCCGCCTCTCCAGACTCTCCTTGACCTGCTCCCTACTCCCACTACATCACAATGTTGTCTGCAAACATCATAGTCCACGGAGACTCCTGGCTGACCTCTTCTGTCAACTTATCCATCACCAGCAGATCTCTAATGTAGTCCCACTCCCATCTTGAACCCATCTGACACCTACATCTAAAATACCCTCTAGGTAGAGTAGACTTTCGGGGCTGCATGCATATGAGAAATTACTATTAAAAAAGTCACATTTATTATTCCATGCTGTGGGCACTACCAGTATATTTTCATCCATGTGTTATTATCCGACAGTCAACTGTTGGAATAGAAAGTATATATGTATTAATGATGATAGGGCCGTTTGTATATTATTGCACAAAAACACACTGTGCTGATAATTTATTATGTAAATTGACTTCAACCTAATACATTAACCTTGCATTTAGTACCAAATTCATTAATGTTGTAATGCTCTGTGTTTGGACAGTTTGGCTGTTGTGAATGGCAGGAGTGGCTATGGTACCAGCTGTGCCAGCAAAGTTGAAGCACTCATTATGAACCACAGGGACAGTGACTGTCAAACGAGAAAACCAGAAGTGTTTTAAAATAACTCTCTGTGAGACAATGAACCTAATAAACCTGTGCAAACATCAGCTCTCAGCACCTATCAGGCTTTACAGGAACAACTTCTCAGTTTTCTTTGTTGAAAATGATTTGATTTCCTAGCTTGTACCATGTCATTGTAACAAGTAGTAAAACCGGTTTTAAAGCAATGGAGAAGTTAAATATTAAGCAATTGGTGCGGTGTTAGGTATTTCTCTTATTTTAGCCATGTTTGCTCGAGCAGTGACAACAGCCAAACACTTGCATTTACACCACCTCCTCTTAGGTGTAGGGATAGACATGCAGCCCCTTGTTAGCTATTACTGTTTATCAATAAGTATTCCCTGGCTTTAACTATGTGATCACAGACAGTTGTAATAGTGAATGAACACTTCTGAGGGGACACGCCCTGCACAGCAGGTTTGACAGTACAGGGGCCCAGGCCTACCTTGACGAAGGGAAAAGCAGGTCCTGGTTTTAGGGGCTCGTTTTCATGTTCCTGCTGGAAAGCGACATACTTCTCTAAGCCCTCTTCCTCAAAGATCTTCCTCTCGGCCTTCATGTTGAAGAGAGTGCGAGAGGAGACGGCGATGGTGACTGCATTCTTGGGTTTGGGCTGGGGGTGCATGAACAATGAGAAAAAAGAAATGCAAGACATGTTCAGGGGTTTGTTACCCAAACAACTCTTCGTGAAAGTATATAACACAGCAAACATGCTAACGAAAAGGAAAATAGCATTAAAACACTCACAGGTCTGGGTTTGTTAGATTTGAGGTTGTCGAAAGCAGCCTTAGCCGCTGCCCAGTCTTGTTCCTCGGCGCTCTCTTCACTCGACCCTTTATCATTGGGCTTAATTTCACTCATCTTTTCTTTTAGCTTATAAATGTCTATAAACAAAACTGTAATAAACCCGATTAAGGGAAGCCTGCCACAACTCCAAAACTTTGCGGAAATGTAAAGTTAGGGGAAGCCTAATGGGCGTGACTTCCCGTAGTGACGTCAGCAGTGTGGGGTAACGCTTGATTGTTTGTTAACGACGAGGAGAAACTGATCTGGCGTTGTTTTTCTGCTATATTTTATTTTATTGAGCTCACAGGCAATATTAGATCCACTTGCTGGACTCTTTTATTGCTTTCGTAACTGTCTTAATCATTCATGTCACAGATTCAACACAGTGCTAGAAACATTCTTCAGACATGTTCATACTGGCACGAAAGCCTTATGCGGTTGCTGCAAATTTGTCAGCTGCACATTCATGATGTGAATCTACGGGTCCAAAACACCCCGAAGGTGCACTGTTGGATTGAGATGTGGTGCGTGTGAAGGCCATTTGAGCGCAGTGAGACAGCATGCTGTCCTGCTGGAAGCAGCCATGAGAAGATGGGTACACTGTGGTCGTAAAGGGAAGGACAGTCAGCAACAATACTTGGACAGGGTGTGGTGTATAGAGGTACATTTATCAACATGGAAAGTTTTAAGCTTAACCGTGAAGGCAGAGTAAGCCGAAGGCTCTGGCTCCCATTCCACTTTTAAATATTCTCGGAACCACTAGTAACCCACGTTACTTAACTTCACTCTCAGACGTATCACAACATATACTGCTAAAATGTAAAACATATGTGTGTCCATCAACACACACATCACACATTTGTTGTTTTTATTCTTAAGATGAATTATTCTTGAATGAAGACATTGATTTGGCACAAGTAAAAATATGGTTGATTATATTTATTGTTCGTTAAGAATAAGTTAAGCGAGGGTGAAAAAAGAAAAGAAAAAGGATGAAGAAGGGAGGGGAGAAAGAAAAAAATGGAGAGTGATGGAGAGGTGGAAGGAGAGGGGGAAGTAGAGGTTTGAGGAGATAAAAAGAGGAAGATGGGCTACGCCTTCTCATGATCAAGTGAGGAAGCAGGAGGGTCCCTCCTCCAGAAGAAACAGAAGCATTTATCATTATCTTATCAATATCGGGTCTTAGGTATTTTTTATTCAACAATTACAATTTTTTGGAAAGAGAGTGCTATTGGACTGCAGTTAAACGCACAATATTTGCCCCAGAAATGAGGTGGAATAACTGGAATAATGTAGCATAACAGCAGACTTCTAAAGTGTAGGTTACTACAACTGGACAAATGAATGAAATCCAAATGAATGTTACCATGGAGAACAAAAATAACCAACCTACATCAATAATACAGTTATACTGCACATATTATTATTTGTAGCCCGTTTTATATAATTAAATATAAACACATATACATATAGAACTGTTACACAACCTCTCTCGATCTCTCTGTGACACACACACACAAATGAATGACCGGCCGCCTCCATCACACCCCCACACCCCCCTACAGTTGGTAGAGTCCGGGACGGAGCATCATGGCGATTGACGGTAGGTACTCGCTCTCAGGTGTCCTGCGGGACTCGTGGGAAACTTTGCACGGGGCTGAAGGAGGACGTCTTTCCATAATCTCACGCGGTATTCACCGAGTGTGTAATTTCTGGTCCAGTTTCTCTGTAACTCACGCGGCGAGTATACCGCAGTGCTCCGGGGGCGCGGGGCTGATGCTGAAGTGCGGACACCCGCACTGATGCAGGACCGCTGAGGTCTCATTATCTTCTCGGGATGTGCACGTGAAGTGATTCGCGAGTAAACCGAGACAAGCAGGCAGTCCCGGTGCTTTGATTTTAAACTAGGGATGTTTTTAGACGGCAGAAAAAGCGTCAGTTATGGGACACCTGTGAGCACGTAGCGATTAATTTGAATATTTTAACACAAAGTCTTAGCATGCCGCTGCTTAGCGTCACATGACTTTTTGTTTTTCTTCCGTTAAAGAACTATATAACTTGGCGGAAGAATAGGGTTGTAATATTTGAAGAACACTCCGCTGCTGTCAAACTTTATTTGATGGCTGCACGTGCTGTAGATACCTTCATAGCTAACATGTGTAGCGGATCTAACAGCCTTCATGCTGAGGGAAAAGTGTCTCCTACAGGCTTTAGTGAGAGTGACCGGGACACATCACCAGGCAGCGACAAAAAGTAGGCTCGTGCCTTGTCCCGTGCTGTCACGGATACGGGTCTTATTGTTTCACGGGCGCTTGTTCCTGCGCAGTGACACTTGAGAGAGGTGGTGTGGTTTAATTAAAGATAGACAGCTCCAGAAGAATTTTAGTGTAATTTTTTTAAATTAGATGTTTTATTGCAAATTTTTAATGAAATTTGCAGCAGCTTGGCGTCACTGAGCAGGGGCGTGTACAGAAGGGTAGCAATGGGTGGCACTTGCCCCAAATTCCCATCCTGGGGACCTTTCCAGTAGTGCCACTGGTCTAGAATAGCCATTCCTAAAGTCAAGAGTGCTGCGGCCCACTTAAAAACCAGCAAATCTGTGGGGCTCAATGAATCTTAAACCGTTACTCCATTCAAATATAAGAGAGGGTGATATGTTTCCTTGAAAATTTTATTCAAAATGCTGTTGTCTATAAATATTACCAGTTTTAATACTTTTCATATGAATAAATACATTTATATAAATTTGTAACTGTACATACTTGTGAGTAATTTCAAACTGAAGTTCTGTTATTACCATGGCCCACCTGCAGTACCTTCCCGGGGCACATTTTAGGAATCACTGGTCCAGAAGCTGGTCTTAAACCTTGATGTTAGAACATCATTGGATGAGGGTGTGGAGAGGTCCAGTGTTGAAATGTAAGGGCTTCACCACACCTACTATGCAGTGGCTGGCGAACAGAAGTTCAGAGATTCGCAGATTATACACAGGACTTGTTGAAACAGTTTGAAATACTGTGGAAAAAAACAATTTCTTTGCCTACTGTTTTGACTTCTTCTCCTTCTGTATCAGCACTGATGTGGAGGCATTGTTATATTAACTAATAGGTCGGTGTTAAGTGGCTTAACAAAAAAAGCAATTCTCTGGAAATGGTCAGATATGAGAACTGGACTAAAAATGAGTGGAAAAACAGGCAGTTTCCATAGAAAGTCTCTGTAGGACCTTCAGAAAATATGGAGAAATATAACCTAAAGTCTGGCTCAGTGAAAGCAGAATATGAGTCACAACTGTACACAGACAGACAGTGACAACATTTACTTCTATTATTGTAAAAATCCATCTCTTTTTGAGCTTTTAAGGCAAGTACTTGTTGTACACTAAGAATTACTAAAGTTTGGTGAGAATAGACAACAGAGAATTTCTGCTAATGAATTAATAGAATGAATTGAGTCGCTCAAGGTCTGTCTGCTACCTCAGTCACAGTTTTCTCTTTGCTCTGGCACTAAAGTCAAGACCTCATGCCACTTCTACTATCTTGTGCAGTCCTGGATGTGAAGAAACTAATACACCTTTTTTAACGTTATGAAGGGATTCTTAATGCACTAAAATTTTGTTTCTTGGTTTGAGACAACTCCGCAACAAATTTCAGAATGTATAAAACACATTGCCGCTATTTTTAATCTAATAATAAACCTAAATTCAGAGCCAAGACGTGACCTTGCCAAACTCTTAAGTAGAGACACCTTAATTAATGGTGATACTGGAGCCTCAATACTGAACTGTTCAGCCAAAGAGAGATTATGTGTCACTGTAAAAACTTGGGGATGTGAAGGAGAGGAAGCACTGTTAACTTAAGCCTCATAGCGATTATGTAAAACAACCAGTTGACACATTATGAAATTGTATTCCAGTGAAAATACTAAATCCTAAAACTTATTTCTCCATAACCCAAACAGAGCAGCGTATTGCATTGCATTGGGTTACAAAATCATGTTGATAATTTTCCAGCAAAGCAACTCATGCCTGGGCTTTTGCATCTGTCGAGGAAATAGTTCATGTAATTTTATTTTTTTAATTTCTACGCTGTTGCTTATAGTTGTAGGAGCCGACCCAAATATAGCAATTTGACAGAGGAACTTTTAGTGACTTGTTGAAGGGTTGGGTTCACATCTGTCACTGTACACGGACTTTTTCCTCTATTTAACATACCGAAAAGGAAAGCCTTACAACCACAGAACTACAAGGCTAAAATAGATGTAAGAGCATTTATTTGAAAGATGAAATATTCTATTTTCTTGTTTAGCATAAGGCTAAAATGCGCCTATCAATGAACCCTACCTTTTTAATTGTTTTTTTTTCTTTTGGTGACTAGGCGAGTAATAAGGGATTACACAGGAAGGCAGTTCAAAGCAAACAGTGCAGTAAATGTCTCCAGAAAAATCAAACTAGAATACAAAACCCACCCTGTGCTCAAAACTTACAGGAAAGGATACGGAGAAGCAATAATAAAAAATGCTCGACTGGGAACTGAAGGCCAGTGGCAAGAGCTTTACAGGAGATGCATAAACAAGGGACAATGACAGCTAATTAAAAAGAGGCGTTATTAAAAGAAATGTCTGGAAAACAAACAGAGACACAGAGTAAAACTGACAAGGCATCATAGCTAAGTGGAATTACAAAATAAAACAGGAAATTACTTTGTAGAATCCATGCCAGTCATCACAGCAATGAGTTATTAGTTGCCTTATAAAAAATGCATGGAGCTATAATTACTGCCTTTAATATGCATGACTTCTTGACATCATTGAGCCTCAGAGTAGCTGTGGCAGAGTGCATTTTTAAAAGTGTTCCTTTGTAGTGGCCCGTGGTTATTACTGGTATAGAGATGATTAATGATAGCCTACACTGCTCTATAGGCTAATATACCCATCAATATATTAAAGACAGAGAAACGGAGACCACGAAAAGCAAACAAGGTCATTCAAGCCTATTGGTTTTATGTTTGCAGACATGTTCATCTGTCTCATTTAACCTGAGGACAGACCATATGTTTCTACATTGCATAAAGTCATATTTAAAACTCTGACTCCCAGCTTTACATCGTCTTTCTCACAGGAGGGGGGAGGAACTGTGGTGTTCATGAGCTCATCTGTGCCAGACGAGGTAAGACCACATTGCAACCACACATTTAAAACCGTGCGTGTGTGCATTTTCAAGAGTATATTTTGTTAAACAACAAGAAAAGAAATTAACCAGGGTATTTACAATAATATTGCATTTATATTTAATTAATTTAATATTCATAATATTAAGTCTTATGATTTCCTTTTTTAGACAATAAAACTTAAAGAATACAAATGGGTTTAACATGACATAATTAAACCCCACTTCCACTTCTTCCACTTTGACTAGCTGTGCCATTTAATATTTAATATGTAATAATGTGAAAATGCAACAGCACAAAATGCAGTTAGTTCAGAGAAATAATAAATATCCTATTGCAGTAAATTCCTGTTTAAACATCCTGCTTGGATGATGTACTGATGATTCTGATTTCTTGTGTAGTGTCATCTGCGGTGCGTTGGTCTCTTTCCCACATCTGCATCTCCAGACAGGAAGGGCGGCATCATGTTTTAGATCAACATTAAGATCAACAGCAGGCTTTGGAGTTTAAATATCAAGAAATATTTGAAAATGACTCAGCTAGGTAAAGTGTTCTACAGCATCTTGGACTGATTATGGACTTCTGAATGATGCAGTGAATAACGGTCAGGTCAGGGATGATCTTTCCACACAGGAGTGTAGCTGTTCCTGTCTATCAGCCCTCCCAACAGGGTTCCCTTCAAAAAAAAAGAGTTCCTGAATGCTGAATGTCACAGACATCAGCCCTGATGAATAACTGCAAATCCAGAAACTGAAATAAGAAGTTGTAGAATTCATCTCTGTAGTAAATTCTGATAATGAGGCAAGCGGTTGGCACGCAGTAGGATTGTCTCTAAGATTTTGTGATGCTCCGTTTTTATGTTGTAACCATAGACAGTATTAAAGATGGCTGTGGCTGCTAGGGCTGTGCGATATGACCAAAATCTCATATCCCGATATAAGACATCTATCGATATAAATCACAAAAAATGTACATTTTTTTTGTAAATTCTGTGAATCTCGGGCAGCTCGACTTGCGTGGAGTGTCTCCAGCTGGGCGTCATGTACCTGGAGTCAACGGTACCGATGCATGAAACGATACATTTTTAGACATAAGTTGTAACGGCCGCCGTTTTCTTTGCGAGTATTTATTACACAGCGTGCTGCGGGGAAAAGCCTGTTCTAACGTTTGAGTCTAAGGTTTATTTGTTAGCACCTGGCGGCTCTTTTTTTTGCTTCTCATCCATAAATACTCTGCATACCCTTTCACGCGATTCAGTTTATTTTGAAAAGTCTCAACAGGATCTTGAGCTTTATTTTGAAAGGTTTATGTGGAACATAAACAAGCGGACACGAAACGCGATGGTTTTACCGTCGTTGTCGCTAACGTCAACGTATAAATACATGCACTTTTCCGTCCGTACTGTGGTTATATTAAATATAAGAGAAAGCGAGAACTTTAAGAAATTAATATAGCCACTACAGTGACCATCAACACGATGAAAAAATGTTGCCGTAAACAGTTTATTTTGCGACACCACGAAACAAACGATAGCGTAAAATTAAACGATAGACGTTTTTATATCGTCATCCGGTATATATCGTTATATCGAACAGCCCTAGTGGCTGCTGTGAAAATTTCATTGGTTTTTGAAGTTCCACTTTGAAACCTTTTCACTGTCACCATCTTGGTTGCAGAAAACGGATGTGATTTGAAAAGATGGGTCTGACTGGGAACCACTTGCTAACTTGCTAATGATTTGCGATTGGCAAGTTGTTAGTCATTGAATGAGTAGGCAATACCACGATCCAGCTTTAAGGCACTTATGCATTGGCTTCATTTTTCCAACATGGAAGCTATGACAATGTTTTGTTTTTGTTAGTTTTATTGTTGTTTGCACAGTAGACGAGGGATTAGTAATTAATATTTACCAAGGGCCACATGAGAAATTAGGACTGTTGTGGAGGGACGGACCAATAAGCTTATAAAATGAGCAAAAGTGAGTTGAGCTATAGGTTGAGGCCATCTACAGCAACCCCAATTTCTAATATGGACCCTTGGGGAAAAATGAATTACCCAGTCCTGTTTCAAGATGTAAAAGCTTTACCCTCATCAGGTATAAAATAATCATTTGACATGTAGATGTGTGAACTCTTTATCCCTCCTGGCAAAAAGATCAAGAAGAAATGAACGAAAAGGGCAAACATAACAGCAATTAAAACAAATACAGGGAATATAAGTATTCCTTTAGCGGCTGTGAATTTAGTGCATATATTTTTTATCTTACCAATTTACCACTTGGCAGGTGCTACATATGTGCGCATTAACCAGTTACGAGTTAATCTGACACGTGTATTCACCATCTGTTATGCATTACAGCACAAGCTGATTTTCAATCCTCTGCTAAGATTTAAGTTTCCAGATCTTTGTTTCAGCTTTATTTTGTGAGTTTTCTGATGTAAGCAGATTATAAAATTTTGATATAATGCCATTTCTTAAGCAGGCCTTTGTGCGTGCATTTTTAAGCCTTTCTGTTGCATGACTGGAGAAGACTGGCTCATCCCCCACCCCCAGGCACTCTCTTTTGCTTGTGAATTTTTACTGAAATATGATGTATAGAATGCTTTTCTATAGCTTTCTCAGTAAGCACACGGTTCATGTGTGAATTATGCACAGCGTATCAAGTTTAGGTTGACTTCAGCAAAAGAAGGCAGCTGTGTGTTCATGATTTATTCAGAGTGGAGGTTTTGTTTCGTACCAGAGGTCCATGTGTAAGCAACAATTCCAGATTGCATAACGAGCATGTCCCAGAAACGCCACTGAGTTTTAAAGCTTTAAACAAAGTAAATTAATCAAGCACTCGCAATGTCGAAATTTTAGTCATTCTGTTTCTTAGCAGATTAGGAACATGAAAGAGTAATTTGCTTCCCTTGTTTTATTTGACACAGACACTTCATTCAAACTAGCTCACATTTCTCTCAGGCTGTTATTTATTTTCTCAATGAATGCTTCAGTGGCTGTGCTTTCATGTTTGTTTGTTAGCTTGCTGGAGTCATTACCTGGGGAAAAAAGGTAGATTGAATCCTGAGGCTCATTTCAGAATCCGGAGTTCAGCCTGAGTTCACATGCTGTGAGAAACAGATTTATTCTGTTATTTTTATCTTGTTTATTCAGTTTGCACACACAGATTGCACATGCACACACACTCAGGGAGGATAAAATGAGATGAAAGAGCGGAGTTTTTAAAAAATCCACCTTAATCTGCTCTGCTCTTAAGAGAGATATCACACTTTCCTAGGTATTATGTAAAAACAGGAGGGCGAACTGTTTCAAAGGCCTCTTTGCTGCTCCGCTCCACTTTCCAGTGTATATCGTTTGGGGCTGGGCTCAGGTTACCTACCCCAGGTGTCTGAATTATTCAGCTGCTGTTGACATTTACAGAATATGGCCATGTATGAAGTGTCATCGCTTGCCGCAGCTCAGGACCATAAGCTGTTCGTTTTCGACAGATGGCTGCTGCTCTCGTAGCCTCAGAGGTCATTCTGCCTCAATCAACACTGCTGTCGGGAGTGAGAGTTGATACGTAAGCCTGGCGAGTGCTGGACCAGACTAAGTGTCAGGGATTTGTTACATGTAGGATTACTTTTGAGCTGGACAACTTTGTTATTTCCCTCCCTCTTCTTAGATCATTTACTATCAGTGCTTTAAGAAGCAGTGCTTTTTGGGAACAGCTGGCTTTAAAGAGGATATTCATTTAGAGGAGGTAAGCCTCTGTTGTCACATTGCTCTCTTATCTCCCTCCTACTTCTTTTGCCGTTCTTGGGAATTTAGCATTCACCATTTTGGCAGTCTGCAGCAGGCAGCAGCTAGTTGTCAGGCTATAGTCATCTCTGCCTGTTGCCATGGTGAGACAAGTCGGTCCATAATAAGTTCAGTAACAAGGTTTGCAAAAGTATACCTCTGTTTTTCCTCTCTCGTTTTCTCATCTGAGACCAGATTTTTACACCAATTTGATTAATGACGGGTGATTGGTCCTCAGGATGTGACCACCTGCTGCAATGCAGACGTGTAACAACTGTCAAGCTCTGTCAAGTTGTCCCAAATATACCTCAGGTTTATGTCTTTGTTTTGTTTTAATGTTGAAACAAACAGTCATCTTCAATTTCACCAAACGCATACCACCAAATATAATGTGTCACAAATGAAAATGGAACAACACGGCAATATTGTGAATGAGGTTTCAGTAAGCAGTGTAAGATTTCACCTTAAAGGGACGTGAAGCAGCATCTTAAAGCTGCCTGTGGCCGTTTTTAGACAGTATTTAAATGAGTAACTGCAGTGTAAAGTTGGTTGTTTGCTGCTGTGAGATACGTGCGATCTAATTCTGCTATGTTACATTATAACACAACAACTCAACATAACCCTCGAAACTCTTTTATACTATTGCTCTGGTTTTTTTGCTTAGTTACAATCGATGAGCCGTGATTGGACAATTTGGATTAGGGGTATAAAACAACCTAATCCTTAAAAATGGAAATGCAGAGGGATTAATTCATGAATATGCCCATAGTTTTTTATTGGGATTAAATTTTGTTAAGGCAGTAATATGTGCCTATAACTCGCTCAGTTTCAGTGTCGCTTATTTAGCAATCTGCCCTTTCAAGTGATCTTTAGAAATGCAGTTCATGCTTCACTGTCCACCTTCTCTTCCCCGTTTCCTGGCTATTACACTGTGCTGTGTCTGTGTTGTAGCCTATTAAACCAAGGCCCGGTCTGTTTTTTTCCCTGGGTTTGCTGAGTCTAGGTTTCAGTTAGATACAGTCCCTTTGAGGCTCTTATAAAAATAGCACAGGGCTGCATGGTTACATGAAGTATGGTTGGCCTACATACAGTGCTGTAGATTTTATCTCGTGTGCCTTTGAAGTGGATCTGTTAAAATGAAAAATATCTAACTCTCCTCTGACAAGCCAAAATGGCAGGAGTTTTATTGCAACTTTAAGATATTATCACAAAACAAATTATTTGACTGGGGTTGTTTGCGGCTTTTCAGGAGTCCTGATCAAAAGACTTTTTTTTCTTTTTTTTAGCTTGTAACCACCTTGTGTATTTTTTATTAGAAAAACATGGGGCTCTTTTTTTCTTACTTAATCAAATACCTTGGTTTGGTATTACTTCTGTTTAAGTCTAACATTTGGATTTCTTTTTTTCTGTCAGTTCTTGCTTTGCTTGTTCCTCATGGCTCCTCCTCTTCTTCTTCTTCTTCTCCTCAGTCTCTCCCGAGCTCCTGGGTGTCCTGTCTTCCATTGCAGCTTTCATGGCATTGATGGCTCTGTTTTTTCTTTACCTCAACAACAAATTGTCAATGGAGAGTCCTGACAATCTGTCACATCTCAGTGACTATAAGAACAACCAGCCAGGTACTCAACACACTCAAAGATTTATTACGCTATTAAATCTGTAGAAATTTATGCAGACGTTTGGATTGCTCTCGGCTTTATCGTGTGGGCATCACTGTAATGACAGCGCGTCCACATCTTTATGAGCCATGCTTAA